TCCTCCTGGTGTTCGTGGAGTCCTCCCTTGCGGGGGTTCTCCTCGGAGTTCTCCAACTTGGGTGGAAACCACCCAAGCCTTTTATACGGCCAGCAAGCCAATCACTAGCCACCACGTGTGAATAATTTCACGCAAGCCAATAATGGGGCTCGAATTATCATACAAATGGCGGGAACTCTTTGCACCGTGCATCTCTGTGCTGCAAAGAAGAAATGCACACTGCAAAGAAAGCTACAATTTGGCGGGAAAATAATTCAGTGGTGCCAAAGCACACACAAAAACAAAAATCACACCCTTGGGTTGTGACACCAGGGTGCTCAAGCATCACATTATGCCTCTGCTCGTCAATGCTGCCTCTGTGCAGGGCCCAGAAGGACCACCATAAAGCCTGACTGGTTCACCTGCTCCCCTCTGCAAGTGCCAGCTCCTAAAGCTGAAGCAATGTGGTTGCCTTAAAGTGGCCCTGAGCACTCTTCCGGCACTGCTCTTTGGCTCTGTGCCTTAAGAGAGGGCTGCTCTAAGGTGGGTATGTTAGCTCCTTTCTGAGATTAGGTGCGTACAGGGTGGAACGTCATGGAGGTGCTTCTGGGTGGGCTGTCATTTGTACTACTAAGTAGGTTGCTTTCGCTGTGCCCTGACAACCCAGGGTGAGCAGACAGATCAGTGATTCCTGGAAGGGACCTCGCGAGGGCATGTAATCCAACCCTCTGCCTGAGGCAGGATCATCCCTATACAAATCCATTGTCTAACCTCTTAGGAAAACTATATAGTCAACCCTGACACAACACAAGAGGGAACACCCTTACCTGCCACTAGAAAAGCAGAGGGACTATGGTGGCCAACATCCTGCTAGGTAGAGGTTGTTAAAATACTCTCAAGAGATCCCAGAAGAGGACCATGACCCACACTGTAAAGGAAAGCAAAAACCCCCACGGTCCATACAAGTCTGACCATAGGGTAAAATTTCTTTCTGACCCCAAATATGGCAGATGCTGTAACCCTGAGTGGAGGGGCAAGAACCTGTAGCCAGGAACCTCTGGGTTTAAGTCCCAGCAGGAGCATCGGCACACCCCAGCCAAAATCCCCAATCTTGGCTGTGGCCAACACCCAATGCCTCTGAGGAAGGCTTCAAAAATAAAATAAAAAAACAAACAAACCCTGAGCAATGTAGCAGCAGGAAAGGAAAAAAATCCCCTCCCAGCCCCATGCAGCAGACAGATTGCTGCAGTGGGCAGAGAAAATGGATTTTAAAACAAATCCAACCCAATCTTAAGCCCTGCTGTGGGTAGGAGAGAGGAGCCAGTGGGCCCAGGAAATGGGAGCGTGAGCGGCTGGGCGGTGCTGTGCCGTCAACTCGCTAATTCCAGTTATTACCTGCTTGCCCTTTCATGTCAGGGCACCTGTCTCGTTCTGCCTGTGCTGCTTTAATTATTATCATTATTTGCTTGTTATTGGATGTGCTAAAAACCTGCAGCAGGTCTGTGTCACATCTGCACTGAGAGTGAGGTGATGTGCATCATTTGGGAGGACTGGACTCTGCCCACCCACTTTCTCATGGGTCTCTCTCATGTCTTCCGAGACCTTCACAGCTGCAAAATTAGCATTTTCTTGTGTCTACAAGCCAAGGGCAGAGCATTTCATCCAGTCCCATCATCTTCCTACATTTCATGTACTCATAGGAGGTCATCTAGGTCATCCCCCTGCTCAAGGCATGATCATTCCTAGACTAATGTTTCTCTAACCTGTACTTCTTTGCTGCTGACTCCAATCATTGAGTAATATTTGGCATTTCTTTCTTTCTCTTTGGGAAGAGCAATTGGAAGTTTTGGACCATTCCCTAGAAGTAAAGGCCCCGTACAGGCATTCAGTTTCCCTGTGAGAGTTGCTGCTCTCCAAGGACAAACTGAGTGGACAAATATTCAGGCTTTTTCTCCCAAAGTAAAAATGGTCACTCAAGGAGAAAAATAACCTGGGAGCAACCAGGGTTAAATCCCCTCCCCCCAGGAGTTTCTCCTGGGAGAACAAATGTCTGTTCATGCTGAAAATTAGGACAGTCTAGTGAGAATGGCAGTGCCTCCTATGTATATGAGTATGAACAGATGGTTTCACTGAGAAGGAACTTAAAGAACGTGTTTACACCATAGCACTACTTATTGTGAATGGTATGGAGAGTGCTTCTCAGAATAGCAGACTAGTGTAGTTGGACTTCTGCTCTGTCTGCCAAAGAACCCTAGTTCTGATTTGGTGAAGTACATCTGGTATTCGTCTGGCTCCTCTAGCCGTTTCCAAAGCAGTGATATAGGGATAAGGATTTTTCAGCCTTCACCCAGTAAAAAAGGCTTTGTGCAAGCCACGTTCTTCCATTCTGCCTGGTACCAAAGAAATGGGTTCATCTCCTTTTCCTCAGCTTGGGTTTAGGAGATCCTCCCAGAAGCCCTTTCTCTGCCTGATAGGGCTGAGAATTTTTCCTTCTCCCAGTAGACATCCAGCCCAAATCCTTGTCTCCTTGGTCTCCTTTATTTCTGTCCTAATGAATTCCCCCAGGGAGACCATCTTTCTCTGTATTCCTCCTTGCTGCTTTGTGGGGGTGTTTTTTCTCTCCTTACAGGCTTTGAACTTCTTCCCTGCCTGACTAGATGCATAGTTCCACACCCCATCATGGGCCTACCAGGGTGATCAGTAATAATAGTAATTAACACTCTACATCTGCAAAAACAGCTGTTAATCAGGACCTGCTCCAAAGCCCACTGCCAATCAGAGAGGAGGCTGTGGGCTGAATATTCAAATCTATCTGTGGGACTCGTATGGCCTCCACCACTGCGGAGTCTGAGAATCTCAGAGTCTGTAAAGCACTGATCCTTTTACAACATCCCCTGAAATCAGGAAGAGTTTTTTCTCCCTTGTAATAGATCAAGGAACTAAGTGATCTGCTTGAGGCCACAGTCATTTTTCAGCTGAGAGGGAACTGAACTGATGGATGCTGCCCTCTTTAACCAGTAGATTACCCTTCCTCTCGGACACCTCCTACAGGTCCTGAAGCCTGCACCCAAATGGCCTTCTCCATTCTTTGATTCTGTGCATCTATTCCCCATAGTGCCCCTAGATGCTACATAGTTCATCTCTGGAAATATTTCTCACTTAATCAATTTTACATGTGCACCACCCATCAGCAAAAGAAAACTGGAAGGAGTTGAAGGAAGAGTTAGATAAAAGTGCTAAGGGCAGAAGGGATTCAGATATGAAAAGAGTTAAAAATTAAATGTGTGTAGCCACAGTGAAGAAAAGGCATTGTGAGTCTCTGCAAATCTGAAGGATGTGAGCACCCAAGGAGAAGCGGACGAGGTGTGGTGGAACTAAGCGTCATGCATCAGAAGGGAGTTCAGGGCATTAAATGGGAGATTTTACAGAGGCAGGAGAAGCTTTGCTGCCCGTAAGTGATCATTTTAAATCCTAGATTAGACAAAGCAATAAAAAAACTGAGTGCTATGGGAGCCCACCCTGCACAAACAGGGCATGTCTACACGAGACACTGCTGTGCAGTAGCAACAATCTACTGCACAGTAGCTCACTGCTAAGGCGCAGTAGCATTGCTGGGCACTAACTGTAATGCAACACTGCTGTGCAGTAGTTACGAGCTCCTGTGCAGAAGCTCATTGCTACTGTGCAGTAGCGTCTGAAAAAAACCCATGTGGGGATGGTACTGCGTAGTAACTCCGGTTACTGTGCAGCCACTTCTCGTGTAGACACGGCCACAGAGAAGCAGACAAGGTGCTTATTCCGAAGCTGACTAGAGTCCATGAGAGACTTTCCTTCAGCTCTTGATGGCTTTTCAGTCAGGCTATGAATGCCTGAGTAGTCACTCTCCAGTTTCCTGTTAGGTTATTTAGTGCCTCTTCCCTGGGAAAGACAGCTTGGGACATTCTCAAAGGGAGGCTTTCATCCAATCTCTTCCCTTGGTCTTGAGCTTTCCCTTTCAAAGCCCTTGTTACCATTCCAAGATAGTCTTGACCATTCATCTTAGAGGCTTGTGACCATCTTCCATTATAAATAAATAAAGACAAAGTGCTCCAGTGCTGTGGCAATGGGGGTAAGGACATAGCAAGGTAGTCATTCTGACTACCTGTTAATGGGTTGCATGGCTACCCCATGTGGGGGCTGTTTCCTGTAGGTCCTTTCCTTGCTGACACTATCGAATGACCCTCCGATTCTGGGGTTTCTTTTGTGTTTCTTGCCCTCCCAGGCCTGCAACGAATTCACCACCCACGTGATGAACCTGCTGCGTGAACAGAGTCGGACCCGGCCCATCTCGCCGAAGGAGATCGAACGGATGGTCAGCATCATCCACCGCAAGTTCAGCTCCATCCAGATGCAGCTTAAGCAAAGCACGTGTGAAGCCGTTATGATCCTACGCTCACGATTTCTGGACGCGCGGTAAGTTTGCTCCCAACCCAGCCCAAAGACATTGCCTTGTGTATGCATGTGGGAGAGGTCTTGAATAATGGAAAAGGATGGAGAAAGTTGGATCGATATCTAGGACGCTGGATCAATTCAGTATGGCCAGAGGTGAAATAACCTGAGTAGATAGATACTGGTGTGTCCCAGTACCAAATCAGCTGTTCTAGCGCGGGGATCCGTAACCTGTGGCCTGCGGGCTGGATCTGGCCTGCAGAACCTTTTTATCTTGCCTGTGGACATGTGGCTTTGGTGGCATTGGGCAGTGGGGGGCTTTGGCAGCAGTCACTTTCCCTGTGCTGTCTCAAGAAAAAGCAACAGTGTTGAGCACCTCCTCTGTGCCAGAAGCAAGCACTTTCCTTGTGCCAGTGCAGGGAGAAGTGGCAGGGATAGGGAGAAGCAACAGTGGCAAGCATGGTGAAAAGTGGTGGCAGCAGGCTCCTTTTCCTGTGCTCCTACAGGGAAAAGTGGCAGTGAAAACATGGGAAAAGCCCATGTTGGTGGCTGGGAAAAGCAGTAGTGGCTGCCGGGTCCTAGGGTCTGCCCATCCACCTGCCAGCCCACCTCTGATCTGACCTGTGTCAGTCTGGTCAGCAGCTTTAAAAGGTTGTCAGCCACTATTATACTGATATTTGCAGGGTGATCCTGGACTAGCTGAAAGAAAGATTTGTTTTAGTTTGGCACAAAGAGGAGTCTTGCTTCCCAGGATTTCAGCTGAGACACTGGTGAGTAAATGTAGTGGGAGGAGGGAGAGAGTTTGAAGCCCTGGAGAGGAGGGAGGAGTCAGGCCAGTTTGATATGTTCAAAGTGAATCTAATTCCCAACCCACACCAAGCACCCTGGGAAGAAATCCTTCCTCAAGCTGTTTTACACCCCAGCTCACAGCCAGCTGCTCAGCATACTCCTAGGCCTGGAGCTGGCAGGTGGAGGCAGATCATAGTGTCCTCAAGGGCTGAAGGAGAACAGGCCCAGAGCCAGTGTTTGAGTGCCTTAGTGCAGGACAGTGGTGCTGGCTATGCTGGCAAGCCATGCCACTCAATGTATTTGGGAGGGGGGCGGGATTTGTAGGGTTGGAAGGAAGTAGAAGGCATTTTGGAGCATGTAGGAGAAAGGAGGATCAGGGCCCCTACTAGGTTGGGGAGAGAGCAGAAGAAAAAAGGATTTTTCACTCTTAATGTTGCAAGCAGGAAGGGCAACACTCAGTGTGCCCATCATGTCCAACAGTAGCTTTGGAAATGGCTAATGGGTAGTGAAGAAGGGTTAAGCTGATAGGGAGATCGAAAAGGAGTCCTAGGGCTAGTGGGTCAGAGATATGAGAAGGAAGATCTTGGTTTGGAGTTTTCAGGATAGGGTGTCTCCAGATCGCACGGAGAAGTCTCTTGTTTCCCGAGTGAGGGCCTTGTAGCAGCCAGAGGAAGGTGTCTGCTGCTGAAGAAACTCAAAATTAGTGGCCAGCCAGGGGTCCCTCAAAAGAAGGAAGAGATGCAGCTTGAAGTGCTAATCTCTTCCCTGAAAAGAAGAGGGGGAAACTCGCAGACTATTTTAACCATTCCTGGTGAATAGTGTGGAGAAATATTTTCAGAGACTGCAGGGACAGGAGTAGGAGAGGGCAGGAAAGAAATCCTGTGAAAGACTGAATACTGTATATTCTGTATATAAGGGGCAATCTTCTGCATAGGAGATGGGACAAGCTGAGTGTACCTAGGTCTCCCACCTAGCACAGGCTGCCCGTTACCTAAAGTGCAGTGTCCTTTGCAGCAAGTGGGAAGCAAATTTTTCAGTGAGGAGTCTGATTTCTGTGTGGCAGGTGGAAATTCTGTTGCAGAGTTGAGTCAGTTAATAAGTGGAGAATTGCATGGGGTTAAAGGTGAAAGAGAATCTCACTGCTGCAGCTGTTACACTTGGTCTTTATCTTCTCATTAATTTCCCCTTTAATTTTACTGCCCCACATTTTAGTTTGTGCAGCAGACTTTTTCCATTGAAAATACAGACTTTTCCTTATACAACTGTTGGAGGAGGAAATGTAAGTTTGGACGTCACTGACAGGGTAGGATAGGAGAGGCAGTTGTCATTTCAGCCTCTGAGAGGGAGCTGGCTTCTTTGATGTCCAATGCATCACTAAGTTCTCTGTCCAGCGTTGCTTGTAATACCTATTACCATTAAAGTGAGGGTTATGGTCTTTTATAAAAGTGGGTCTTTTATAAAACCAGCACCTTGTTCCTCAGCTGCTCTGTACAAGATAGTCTATTTTATGGACAATTTATATTCCCACAGGTGCTCATACACCTCTGGGCAAGCAAGTTGGATTCTACTTTGCCTTGAGCTTCATCAGCAAAACTGGGAGACGCGAGAAGCAGAAAGAGCACAGCTGGGTTTTGAAAGCAGGAGGCTGGTATCTGATAGCTCAAACAGATCCCGGGAGTCAGGACTCTCAGGTTCAGTTCCCAGATCTGCTAATGCCTTAGGCAAATCATTTAGTTTTCTGTGCCATAACAAACGAATAATAATAGAGCTGCTTCCTTCACAAGGCCTTGCAAAGTTTAACTAGAGGAGGTTTGCAGAGTACTTTGAAATGGAGAAGGAAAGTAGTATTCATTTCCCAAGTGGAAGCCCGGACTGGCAGTTAGTTAAATGTTGATTTTTCTTATCAACGGGGCTTGTTTGCTCTGGAAGCCACTGAGAGAGAAGAAACTTAAGCCCCCCAAGAGGTCGTTTTAGGTGCTTTCCTGATTATAACCAATCAATTTGTGCTGCATGGGCTGAGGGCAGCAGCAGGAGTGAACTAACCTGGGCCTCGTGATTATGGATTAAGCACATCCAAGGTTCCATCCCTCTTTCTACGTTATTAGCACTGACTCTTATTCATTTTCTCCTTCTCAAGGCGGAAGAGAAGAAACTTCAACAAGCAGGCTACGGAAATCCTGAATGAGTATTTCTATTCCCATCTCAGCAACCCTTACCCCAGTGAGGAAGCCAAAGAGGAGCTAGCCAAGAAATGTGGCATCACAGTCTCACAGGTAAGGGCACAGCGACATGAGCTGAGAGAGTAGTGCCAAAACAGCAACAGAGTGGGCATGTATTAGGTGAGCTGAGTTCCCTCAGTTCTGATGGCTTAATAACTGGATGAGTGCTAGATTTAGACAAGGGAGCATTCTGTGTGCGGGTGGCCAAATGATGGGGTCAGCAGACTTGCAGGAAGAGGGGATACAATGAATTGAGGTAAGTGCTTGGAAGAGATGGATACCAAGAAAGCAAAAGATGGTTAGGATAGCAAGAGATTTGTAAGAGGGCAGCATAATAGAGCCAATGTAGATCTTACTCAGTAGGGGACCTGGGTGAATCTTCCTTGGATGGGGAATTTGGGCAACAGGAGCTAAGCAAGACAGCCTGGGGTTTTACAGGGAAAGGGCTGTGTCTGTAGAACATTCAGCACCTAATGGGTGCTACCACCATCTGCCCAGTGGATATATTAAACAAGCACAGGGACTGGGTAGGGCATTTAACTGATGGATCTATATGAGTAAAGCCCAGGCAGGAGCAGTGGAGGCTGTGGGCTATGTAGGGAAGTAGCCAGGTTATTTCTGTCTGTCCAGAAGAAACATGCCGTGTATAATTACTCTTATATTTTTCTGAATGTAATGCCTTCCTGTAATGCTGGTGCTTGTAATTTCTCCATCAAAATGGGATATTCATTAAATATATTCTGGTAAGTAAAGGGTAGTTGCACAGCAGCTGTACCCCTTGAATTTAAAGTACTGACCAGCATGCTGATATAAATCATAAGTAGTACAGTTGAGTCTTTGAAGCCTGCACACTGTGGGATGTAATTTAAGTAGCATCCTTTCCTTTCCTCTCTCCTCTTCTTTTCCACCTACAGTATTTATCTGCAGGGTTGCTTGACTGCAAGCCAGTCAGCATGGCATCTGGAAGTCCAGCTCCCAGCCATTCCCTGTCTTCTCCATGAGCTCTCCCAAAGTCAGTATCTTTGTGTTCCATCCTGTTCCCAGACATCTGTCTGTGATGCAAGTGGAGTAACATTCAGATGAAGATGGGAAATTCTCCACCTTCTTGTAGTTGTCTGGTTTCTCTGGGGATAGCAACATCTAATTAGATACTGTAGTCAGTATATAGTCCTACTAATTGCTTGCTAAATGTTCATTTAGTGATCATCAATCTGTGATCATATTTGATACATTAGAAGACCCAGATGTCTTTCATTTCCTCCCACAACTACATGCAAGGAATAGAATATACTGATTCAAAGAGAGCAAAAATTGTCTTGAGGTTTTCTTTTGTTCTTGGAATTGACCCCTCAGATGCTTATGGGGTTTAACAAATTTCAGTAAACTCTTTTTTAAAATGTGTGTGCTATCTCTACATTCCATTGTGCCAGGAGGAAAAGAGCACATTTATAGGACAAAAGCTGTTCTTGTGATGCCTCTGACCCTGCCAAAGCAACAAAATACTCTGCCTCTTTCAGAAGGATTTCTGTTCCTGCAGAATTTCCCATGTGGTTTTTCACACAAAGATGGTATTTGAAAGGGGTTTGTATATGGGTTCACTATTACTACCTCTTTGATGCCTACATGAAGATACATAGTGGCCTGAAACTGTAACTGCAAGTTTTGTTTCTCTCAGCTGTTTCAGAGTTAGGCCAAGTCACTGCTTCATGAATGTTAAGACTAGATGGGACCATTTCAATCATCTAAGGTGATCTCAGCACAGCCCACAGAATCTGCATCTGGCTTTATCAGCTGGTTGAATTACAGCATATCATTTAGAAAGACATCTGGTTCTCATTACTTTCACAGGAGTCCTCAAAGGAACATTTAGGTCTTACTGAAAGTGTCCTTGGTGAGCCATTCATTGGCTCTTAACCCCATACCCAAAAGCGAAACAGAATTTCAGACAAATTTGGGCTAGCGAGAGTGCCTTTTTGCAGTGTTAACTCCCTTGTCATGGCCCCCTTCCATGAATATTCGCATACTGTAAACTCAAGTAGTTCAGATGAGCATTTAAATTTTGTGGTGATTTTCTGAGGAGAACACAGAGGGCCAGAACCTGCTTTACTTATTAGGTACCCAAGGTGTTCTTTGAACACCTAAGGGCAATCTTATTCCATCCTGCTTCATTCTGAAAAACCATGAAGGTGTCTGCTTTTGTGACACACTTTTATCTTTGCTTTAAGGCTTAGTCTTAAGGCAATGAGGAAGAGGAGGATCTATCCACCTTTTGCAGTAATATTATTTTTTTAGAGATTGAAGGAGAGTAGAATAGAATTTCAGTTAGATGCCCAAGTACCATATAGACGCCTAATAGGTAGATTAAGATCTGGCCTATATAGTGTTCAAAAATGTTCCTCTCCAACTTCACCATCTATTAAAAGATGTTAAAGTACTGAGAGTAGTGGCTGGATATTTGTTAATGTCCGGTGATGGTAGCTGTAGAACATAGACTTTTCATGAATCTCTTTGTTTGCCATAAAGCCTCAATCACAAGTATCCATGAGAACTGCGGTTCACAAACTTCTTAATGATCTATTAAGGAAACCTTTTTTGGTGCAAATATCGAATGCTTTTGGTGTTGCTGATTGAATAGGTATGTGTCTGACCTTGCTTGGTGGTGCAAGAGGTGATAGATTTAATGACAGACACAGAGACTTCTTGTTGTGAGAGGACTTTTATTCTTCAAACAACATATTCTGCTTTCATACCATCTCTGTTTTGGATAATCATTTAGAAGTCAATTAATTTTTGCCAGGATTGGCATTTCTTGCCGAGTATATGAACAGATCCTGATAAAACCAGAGGGAGCCAAAACCCTTCCAGAACTCAATCTCAAATATTTCTGATATGTTTTAAAAGTTCTGCCACCTCCCTTGATTCCATGGCTGTGGCCTCGCTTGGTTTTGATCCTCACAGACAAGGCACAGAAACGGGAATTAGGACATGTAGGAATTAGTCTCAGCTTTACCACTAACTTCTGGTATGATTTTCGATGAGACCCTTCACAGCTGTGTGCTGCATTTTCCTCATTAGGAAAATGAGGATGACATCCTCCTGTATTTTATAGCACTTTGAGGTTGCTAGGTGCTATTTATTAGCATTGCTGCCTGGTTCTGAGCAGGAAGTATCTGCCTGATTTTGCTGACTCAGGATTTTCTATATCATTCAGCTGAGCATCCAGACCTAAACTCTTGGGAGCTTATTCAGATCATTTGGGGCTTTCCCATCACAAACCCTTTCAAGATTTTATGCAATTGATTTCAGTCTACCTTCTCTCCAACCTACTGTGGGCAGCAATTACAGATTGAAAACTAGCCAGTAATATCTCTCCAGGGTGCCCTCTGAGATGAACTCTTTGCATCTCTGCAGACCACAGGGGCCAGATCCTTCACTGGTATTGACTTCAATAGAGCTACACTAATTTACATCACCTGTGCATCTCACCCATAGCTTTTCATTTTCCTTAAATAATTCTATACAAGTTTGGCTAGCGTTCAGATAGGTCAGTCTGTCTCCTTCTGAAAATCTTAAGATAGCTAAGAAAACAAAGCACATACTCTACACTTGAGTACAAGCATTTATGGCTCTCTCTGCTTACCCCATCTCTGCAGGGTCCCTGCAGGTGGCCTTATGAGGGGTGGAGATAAGTGATCTGAGCTGACAGCATGAAGTTGAGAATAGTAGCTGGTGCTGTTGGAGGAGGAGGAGGAGGTGTCATGGGGCACAGCTAGAAACTAGAATGGAAAGAAACAGGAAGCAGAGCACCAAACTTTCAATGTTTTCTGTTTCCTTCCTTGTTTACATCCAGCTATACTAGTTTACTTACTGATACAAGGTGAATTGGTACAAAACAGGTGCAAATAGGATTAAGTGTGTCCATACAGGGTTTTGCACTGATTTATCTACAGTGGTTTAAATTGTATTAAGGCTTTTGTTTGGTTTTTTTTGCATAGACCAGGCCAAAGTAACCTATGCCACAAGCCATGGCTGTACGTGTAAATTCTTCTGGGACATGTTACAAAGAGTAGCATAAGCTACTGTAGACGACAGGGGCTTTCATGAGGGCTGTGTTTAGCAGAAAGGAGAATCAGACTTTCTTTGTACACAGAGCTGGCATTCACTCCAGGACACTGTGAGGATGCCCACAGCTTAGTTCAAGGTGCAGCATTTTGCATTTTTTTAAAAAGAAAAAAAAAGGACTTGGACAGTGGGGTTTACAAGATCAATTGGAAGAGAAATGCTTCATGGGCATCCATATCTTAGTAGATTTGAAAATAATTAGGGGGTGGATGTCAAAAGCACAGACAAGATTTAATCTCCTGTTGAAAGCTAACAGGAGCTGAGCCAGTTGATTTGATATGTGTCTGAATATCTTTCCCTTTTCATGATGAGGTTTTACTAGTAACAAGTAAAACAGTTATTTTTTGTTATTGCTGATGTTTTTCTTTTAATCTCTGTATTGCTAATTCATGCCATTCTAATACAAGTGCCATAGTGTTTGATGTTTTCTTGAAGTCCCAGCTCCTGGAGTCATGTGATTCCAGGAGAATTTCAGCTATCTTTTAAAGAAAAAAAGTAGTGGCAGCTCTTGTGTTTGCAAAAAAAGGCATGATCTGAGTGCACCTCAGAAGCTCAGAATTCAGAAGACAAATGAAAAGAACCCTTGCATGTTATGAGTTTTTAAATATCAAGAGTTTAAGCCAATTTCATGGGTATTGGAGCCTTTTTCATTATTAAATGCTTGGGATTGGTAAACAGGTTCTTTGGGTAAATCTGATGATATCTTTTATTGGACCAACTCAAATAGCTGGAAAATTGGTATTGGTAATACTGTTATCCTGACCGGTGTCAGTTTTGTTGGCCTGTGTTGCTTTGGTCTCTGTTTGGGATGGAGTCAGTAGGTGGAACCTTCACCATGTCACATTTGATAATAATGATAATGATGATGACGATGATACCTGCAATGCTTAACTTACCTTATTCCACTTTCCTCATATCAAGCAAAATTTATGAGAACTGAAACTTCAACCTCTTTTTATCTTTTCTTGAACTTGCTCTAGGTATCAAACTGGTTTGGAAATAAGCGAATCCGGTACAAGAAGAACATAGGTAAATTTCAAGAGGAAGCCAATATTTATGCTGCCAAAACGGCTGTCACTGCTACAAATGTGTCAGCCCATGGAAGCCAAGCTAACTCACCCTCAACTCCCAATTCAGCTGGTTAGTTTTTTTTTTTTCCTTTGGGTTGTTATTGTTCGTTTTTTTGTTCGTTTTTCCCTTTAATCTCTGTGTTTTTCTTCTTTTCATTTTCAAATTTTGATTGGCTCCTTTATGTGTAATTTTTACCAAAAAAAAAAAAAAAAAAATGGAGTTGGGTTTTTTCTGGTCGTGTTTTTCCGTATCTAAAATTGACGTGATCGTGCTGCGTAACTGACAACAACTTGTTGGGGTTTTTGCATGGAAAAAAAATTGAGTTGCTTGCTCCTCAGAAGAAAAACAATTTTCCACAGACAATTGGTTTATTTGACTAGAGGCCAAAAGCATGAGTGACCCTGATAAATAAGACCCATCACTTGCAGGATGTCTCTGCTCATGCTATTTTTTTGTCTGCTATATGTGAACTTTGATTTTTTCCCCCTTTTTTCAGGGTGCTTTACACAGTAATGTCTAGACCCATTTGCAAGTATTTGTTCTCTGTGAATTTTGTTTTCCTTTTGTATCAGTACTGGCAGAAGATTCTATCTTCAAGGAAATCCAATGGGGTTTCCCTCCCCCCCCTTCCCCTTTCGTACTGTTTGTTGTATTTTTCATTTTGTTTGCTTCAGGGGACAAATGTGTGTTCAATCAGTGCATCTTATCCAGATTTCAGCTCCTCTGCTAAGGAACAATTATGTGTCTCCTGTTTAATTTTAGCATGTGTGTGTGCCCAATGCCACCGGATTCAACAGTTATGCCAAACTGTACATTTTTTTTTACTAATGGTGCTAATCTCCAAAGCTACGGGAGATTTGGGACCTAATTAAAAGAAAAAAAAAAGGTTAATGTGATGGCTGCCATGTGATTTGAATTATATGTGTATATGCCTATTTTGTTCTAAAAGGGAGGAGGGGAGGGTAATGTGGACCTATTTGGTTATGTGTCTTTAAGCTTGGTTTATTATTATGATACCCTTTCTCCAGGGCATGAAGTGTGCGGTTGTCAGGTACACTGTTAAATGAAGGGCACTGATGCAAAAAAGGGAGGCAGGGCTGCCTACAGGGACATTAAATGGGCCATTGGTGTTCTGACATTGCTGAAACAATGATTATTCTTATTAGGAAACATTTATACAGTGTTGGGATATTTGCATGGCTTTTTAAGGAAATCTGACGAATCATAGTCCTTGCCTGAGTGCAGGGAGTCTAAGTTAGACCCAACACATAATGGTGGAAATGTGAAGACGGTGGAGAAACAAGAGACAAATGTTCAAACAAATGAAATAATGTGAGCTAGGTTATATAGTGTGTGAGCCCCATGATTCGAAGAGGAGGGCATGGGGAATAATATTTCTTTGTTTTTACTGTTTTCCCAAGCGGTCCCTCAGGGGTTTGAAGGTTTGGTGTGTTTCCAATGCAGGCCTTTTCTTAATGCCAGTTTCTCCTTTTAGCTCAAGGGGATGAATTCTATGCTGTGGCTTTAAAGATTTCCCACTTAAAACCTGCTGATGGCCCTCATAAGGGGTCAGTATGTGATGTAACGGTAAGATCTAAAATGGATATCAACACTTCAGCCATAAGTCAGCCTCTGTCTACTGCGGGATAGGTTTCCAGGATTTACTGCAGGGTGTTCTGCACTTTCCATTGAAACAACTGCTTCTTGGCCACTGTGGAAAAGAGGTTATTGTCCAGGTGGACCAGACAGCTCCTTCGTTCCTCTGCTCTTTGCCTACCATACACGTAGATTTGTTAATAACATAGGGTAGTGCAGCATGGCTCGATTCCACTCCCTGGCTTGCTATTCGTTGAGGCGTTCGGAAACATTTGGTTGAACTCTGGAGCTGGTTGTACTAGAGTTGCTCAGGAGGGATGGCTTCCACAGTGTCTTTCATTTAATTTGAAATACTTACTTCTATAGGTTTAGGTGCTCTTTGCAAGCTGTTCTCTTAATAAAAGCAGCTGATCAAGCTATGAACCTTTTGGCATTAACTATTAACCTATTAAAAAGCATTGAGTAAATTCAGCAGAATATATCCATGTGCATGAATAAATTATATCTAATATTACTTTTGATACTGAGGTGGGGAATTTCAGAGTCCAGAATCTACATGAACTTGTAACTAAGATATGCAGTTTTCATTTTCCTCTTATTTTGAGGCATTGGATCAAATTGTGTTTGATCCAAAGCCCGCTGAAGCCAAGGGAAAAGGCTCCAAGTCACATTAATAGGCTTTGGATCTGGCCCATATCCAGCATAATAGACATTTCTCCAACAGCTGCCTCACTTAAATAATGCTACAATTCAAGTCTCTTTCTGTGACTTTCCCTGCAGGCAGTAACATGGCTGTTTAAAAGATAAATTGTCCACAAACCTGCAGTAAACCACTAAGATAATCCCCTGATAACACTATGCTTTCAAGGTAGGACAAACATCCTTGTTGGTAAAGCATATGATTTGAACTCCTGCCATTGACTCTCCTAGGGTGGCTGTCTACACTCCAAAACTGCCTACCCTTTTCCCTTCAATAATGTAGTGGCACTGTTACTAGCAGGGATGTAAGTACTGGCATAGGTAGCACTCCACTGACTTCATCTTTGTCCCATGAAGACCTTCCTTCCACTGGACAAGGTCTCTGTGACCTTTGGGTGAGTCATGTCACCTCCCTCAGCCTCAGTTTCCACATCTCCAAGATACGATTTATGCTATTTCACGTGGGAAGTAGGGCTTATGAGGCTTAATTGATGTGTGTCTATAAAGCTGTAGGAGATCCTTAGATGGAAGATGCTAGGTACCATTATTCTGACTGGCCCGTTGTATAGGTCCATGTTCACGAAAGGACACTCCCTGGTGCACAGATTGCACTGCTGTTGGTGGAAGAGCATCATCAGAGACACAAATGCTTGTGCATTTTCATGGCATTTTAAGAAGAATACTAGGTATTTTGGCAATATTTTGATGTGCCCTGTCAGGATATGGGATTCCTTTTACCCTGTGTCATAGGTGCCCAGTCTTCCTTTCTCTTCAGTGGAAAAAGAAGGCTCCTGATCCTGTCCCTTTTTTCAGAAACAAACCTAGATCTTCAAAGTGTGCATGTCCCTTGCTGTTCCCCACTCTCACTCCCCTCCTGAGAACCATGAGCAGTAATATCCAAAATCATGTGATGCCTGACCTGAAGTATATGTAAGTGCTGACACAAGCAGCAAGAGGCAGCCCTTCACCTGACTGATGTTTGTGCACCATGGCCCCAGCTAGCCATTGCCAAGAGAGTCCCTTTTAAGTCAGATGGTACTGGGCTTTGGATGCTGTATGTCATCTCTCCCATGGAGCCTGAGCACAGAACCAAGGTGATTTGACTGAGTGAGTCCTTTCTGGTTATAGACACCATCTATTCATTTTTTAGGGCCTATGTTTCAGATGCTCCTCTCCCTGCCTAGCACTTCCTTGTCTCTTCAACCCAGAGCCTGTTTTGCCAGGTACCTCACCAGATACTTTCTCTTTCTTACAAGAGAAGTGGTCCCCAGTATTTCTTGTCTCATAACCCCACTTCTAGGTCCCATTTCTGGTCAGGTTACAACCCCGTTTCTTGTGTGAGCCCAACTATTCTAGTTGAATTTTTTTGGTACTCACAACCCTACTTGGGGCCAGGGCCCCTCACTGAAGAACTGCTGTTTTATCTCATCTGTCTCATGATTGAAAGCTTTGAGAACTATTGTTCTGGGTGAGATTGAATTACAGGCTCTATCTTGCACCCCATGAGCATCCAGTCCCTTTGATTATTTCCTTCCAGTTTCTACCAATCCAGTCCTAGTTTTTAAGTTGAGGCTCATTGCCCTGTTAAGATGCTAGGCCTATGTATGATTGACAAGTTAGATACTTCTTATGCTTAAATCCTGTGGTTTTGAAGAGTACACAAGCTTGTGCAACTGAACTAGCTTCTGTTGATTTTGGGCCCTTTCACTACCACTGTTTTATGGGGAAGTGGAAGTATTTTTTATGTGAAAGTGACATTTAAAGGTGGCAGCCCTCCTTAATCATCTCTTAGACACCAGTATGATACTAACCAGTTGATAGGCTCAACTGAGATGTAGATAGGCAAAATTGACCTTTTATTCATTTGTAATAACAAAAGCAAAATGGCAATGGGCAAGCAGAGGAGAGGGATGGGAGAAAGAGAGAAGAAATAAGGCTGGTGGGGGGAGGAGAAAGAGGCAAACTTCAGAAATATAAGAAAATCAAGATGGGAAGGAAAAAAAAATCTAGGGGGGATGGCAGCTCCAGTCATGCCAAGATGAAAAATGCTGCCAGTTGGGAAAGCCCATCCCAGAGTTCCAGGACAGCTGGTGTATTAGAAAAGGCTAAATCACCAGGCTTCACATAAGAAACATCTAAAGTAAAATGTGGGGAATGAAGACAGAAGAAAAGAAAGAGACCATCCAAGTTTCTAGTGGGTCACTCTCTGTACTGCCAGATTGGGAGAGGGCTCACTCCCTTTTGTGGGGACATCACGGAATAGGGAAAGAATGAATGATATTTTACATTGATCATTTTGCAGGTCTACCTGAGTCCTGAGACCCTCACACCAGCACCCATTACATTCTCATGTTCAGAGTAGCAGAGGTGCAGGTTAAAACTGTCTCAAGTGACCAATACATTTTTTCCCTTTCTATTTTAATGTCTTCTTTTTTACACTGCTCATTGAGGGGACAGTTATCGTCTACCAACCCCTTTGAATCTGAAATGCTGGCCAGCCTTCTGCACTATATGATTACTGATACTTCACCTGTCTTCTGTTATTCCCACCTTCCTGTGTTGTGTGTGCTATATCCCCTGTTCTTATTACTCAGGAATTCAGTTAGTAACCTCACTGGGGCAGGGACTGGGTCATTCAATTTTAAAGTGCCATGCCCTTCTCGTGCTGTGTAAATGTTGATAGTAGTTTCAGTGACCATGTTAAGTGTGATATGAACAAAGACACAACAAGCATTAGAACTGATATGTAAATTCAGTGTTGAAGGCCATATCCTCAGCTGATGTGAAGTGCTATGCCTCCAGTGAAATCACCCACTGAGGACCTAGTTCAATAAATTCTCTCATCATTTTAGATAATGGTAGAAATGCGGGGGAAAAACATATCTGTGATGCCAGATTCTGTTCTCCAACAGATGTGCAATGCTCTTGGTTCCTTAAATGGGAGTCCTATATGTGTAGCTGTGAGCAAACTTATGGTCATTGGGTTTTGATCTTGGCTATTTTGACTTACCCGTATTCCGCGTGACAGAAGCCTTTTACATTATTAACCTCCTGGATATTTTAATGCAAAATGCAGGAAACAAAACTACATGTGATTTTAACTAAGATGGGTGGAACTGTCACAGACACAATTTTCATGTTTGTATAAAGCCCATTGAACAAAAGATCCACCAGAAATTTCACTAGAATCATTCATCACTAGTAAGATATAAAAACAGAGGTTTGAAAAGAGCATTGAAGAGTGGTGAAGGTGGGAAATTAGAGGTGGGAGAGTGAAGAATATGTTTAAAAAAAAAAAAAGGTAAAATGAGCAGCAATAAACAAGTGCACAAGAACTGTTGAATACCAGGGAAAAGATTTTTGAACGGGATGTAATAATCTCAGATATCAAAGATGGAAAAGAACTAATTTGATTATAGCTAGTTAATCTCTCTTAGATCCCTGCAGGCTTTTCTCCAATGACATATTAGCATCTTGAACCATTTGGTTTCAAATGTGCCACATGCCTAAGTTTCCATCCCTTTTCATGGGAGACTGTTCCACCTAAGCCTTGCCATTTTACCTGATATATATCCCAAATTTAATATTTTTTTATTGTCATCCCATTACAACTAGTTATACCACTTTGGAGCCTCATTGCCCTAAGAATTGGTACTCTTCAAATACATGCTAACAGTAATCTTGTCCCTCCCTACCTCACATGCACCTCATACACCTCATGTTAGTAGTAACTCGGGAGCAAGCTCGTGAAAATAATGAAAGGAGCTGCAGTGGATAAGAAGCCAATGAGGCTGGTGGAATTGGGAGTCCAGTTAAAGGAATCATGGTGAATAGATCTTGGTTTAATACTAAACCCCAGATGTTAAACATCAGCATTGGTTCCAAGCGTTCTTCCTGGCATGCCGTGTTATGCCTTCTCTTATTGTAACATTTGTCACGTGAGATTTCTCAGGAGCCCCATTCCAGGATCATAGCCCATCCCATTAGGCTCTATGCAGACATTGGCCAGAGCTGGCAGAACCTGCCCCACAGAGCTTACAAGCTATGTGACAATTGTTACGTTCCATTTCATGAGGACATCCAGGTCAAGGTGGGACCATTTCAAAGCTTTTGCTGTTAAATGCAGGTCCCTTAGGGTGACAGACTGGATCTGTAAGTGGAGCCTCAACAGACTGGTGTATTTGGATAGTATTTTCTAAACCCAGGCCCCACGTCTGATTCACACTGGAGTCTTTATTTTGATGGCATTCTTGCCTGCCCCCCCTTTGCTATGCCAGTACATTAGCCCCTTCTCAGCTGCTTCTCAGAGACCCTGGGCCCTCATAATTTTCACACATGCCTTGTACCTAGGTGGCAGAATGCTGAAACAGCACTGCAGATGGTGTAAAAGGCAATTACTGCTTTGATACAAATGCATCTGTACATGCAGTCCATTGGTATGCGCATATTTATCTTTGCATCTACATTGGCAGTAAGACATATTTACCATTTATATATGCACATATATTGTAAAAATACTCTGTGCCAATAGCAGTGTATATCTTGTAAATGGCATAGCTCGTGCCTCTCATGATTTCCAAGACACCGGTGCTATCCAGAATTAGAGTTTGCTGCTGTTTATTTTATTCTTCCGCCCCTTCCCACACACACACACACACACATACACACACACACACACACACACACACACTTTACAATCTGGCTTGTTAACTTTCAATAAAATATCTGTTAAGTTTATGTCATTTTTATTTATTATTTTTAAAGGGCGGGTGTGGAAAAAGGAAGTTGCTATATTGGAGAGGGAACACACAGAAAAAAACAACTCCTTGTAGCTTGGGACAGCTTGTTGTCCGGTAGCGCAGAGAATCCTGGATTCTCTTTCCAGTTCTGCCACTGACTTGTATACATTTGTGAGAGGCACTCTGCCTCTCCATTCCAGTAAAGGAGAAGAGCAGTATTCCCCTTGCTTCTTGTGAGGCTTAATTAAAATTTCATGTTCTTAGGGGAAGGGTGCTAGAGGAAAGCTAAGTTATAGCCTGTAAGATACTACTTTTGACTCATAGAAAAGTAGGGCTAGAAGGAACCTCAAGAGCTTTTCTAACCAACCCCCTGCTCATGGAAGGATAAAATTAATCCAGCTCTTTCTGCCTGGTTTCAAACCAAGGCCTTTGTGTACGAGAGGCAAACATGATTAACTACTATACTACAGAAACACTTTAATAAATAACTATAGGCACTGAGGGATGATAAGGAGGCCTTTGCTGGTTGAGCAAGAGCTACAGGAGTTGCAGCTGTCTACCGAGCAGCTCTTACCAGTTTTAACAGAAGAGTGGAGTATTCTCTACAACATATTGGGTAGCATTTATCAAGAACATGATCACCATAGCCTTTAGAATCATAGAAAATGAGGGTTGGAAGGGACCTCAGGAGGTCATCTAGTCCAACCCCCTGCTCAAAGCAAGACCAACCAGCTATATCATCCAGCCAAGGCTTTGTCTAACTGGGGTGTTGTATTCTTTCTAACATAGTTAGGGTCTGATCCCAGCCCCAATGCAATCAGAGGGATTCTTTCTATTCTGGGTCAGACCTGATTATCTGTTTAGGTCCCTTCCAACCCTAAGTACTATGATACTATGTTGACTGCAGCAGACTATGGATCAAGCTTTTACTGGTCAGTGATGTTCCCAGCTCCTCTTCATTTTTGGGATGTTCCACAGTCTTGCACAGTCAGCTCCTCTGAAGAGATCTTTAGAGCATACATAAGCACATAACTGCCATTTACTGGGTCAGCCCGTAGGTCCATCTTGCCCAGTGTCGCACAGCGGCAGAGCGTGGATGCTGAAAGGGAGAGTGAACTGGGTATGACCAGGGTTTTTTTCCACTGTTCCTCTTTTACTTAAGAGTCTCCAGCATTTTAGGTCTAGGAGTTTAGCAAGGTTAGTAAGTGGGCAAGCCAAATGCTTGACAGCATAGACCCCATGTTCACTTCCTGCCCCATCCCAAAAGTTGCTTTTATCAGATGAGGCTTCTTTGTTTTTCTCAGGCCAGGGGTTTGATCAGGAGCATTCACTCTGTCTTAATGGTGGGATGAGGGATACAGATTATCAGTTGTTTTTCAGAGCTTGCACACAAACCATTACTGGGCAATTCCACAAAGACGATGGTTGCCAATCTTTGGGTTTGATGTGGGGGAAAATTCGAGCTGTTTGGGGTTTTAATGATACAGTGGAGCTGACCTGGGCCCCTGAAGTCTCTCCGTGTCAAGGCTAATGTCATGTTAATAACCAAACTTTGCACGTTGAGCTTTCTCACACTTAATTCGCTGAGCTGCACGATAGTTTCAAAATAATCCCGTAAAATCTTCCCCCACCCCTGCATTCCAGTTGTATGCTCTTTTTCTTTCTCCCCTTCAGTGGGCAGGGGAGGTGCTCAATTACCTCACAGCTGGAAGCAGAAAACCTTCTTGTTTCTCCAAAGACATTTTTTTTCCCGTCCCACCTAGTTGCCTCCATTATTGTAATTTCTTTTTGTAATGTGGCGACTGGTGCATGCGGTGGGACTCCTGATCTGTAATTTGCTTGCAGAGCTCACTGTGGATAGGCAGCTGGCATGGAAAGGGACAGGGGAACCTTACATTCTCTCATGGTCCATCATGTTACTTATTTTGCCTAACCTATAACCTGCCATCTTGGAAGTGTGGGACTTTAATTGAAGTCTACAGAGGTAGCTTCACAGTTTGACCTTGTAGCTCATGGAGTGTTGCTACCACCACATTGTGAAATAGAACAGCAGTTATTTGATTGTGGAGGTTAGCAATACACCCTCTTCTCTGATGTCCTCAAGAGCATGTTCCACACTCAGCCCACTGGCAAGACCTCCTGTTAAATTAGTGGGAGTTCTGTCCTTGGGGTGAGTAAAGAATCTGGGTGCGTCTTTCCTGCAGACTGCAGTATAATGTAGAGATACATGACTTGGGTAGTGGGGGCAGTCTAGCAACAGCATCGCAGACCTCAGTGTGGGCTAATTTACCCTGCTGAGAAGACCACTGTTTTTAGTACCTGGGATAGCTTGTTAAAAACTAGCTTGGGTATCTCTACTCTACACTGCAGTCTGCAGCAGCAGTGTACCCAATGACGGAGAGTTTCAGGTTGCCTAAAGGACTTGAATGCCTTAAGATGAATGAGAATGGCACTGTTGATCCTTTAGGCTGGGTTTTGGATATCTGAGCCAGTGTGTGGGGGGGAAAAAAAACCTACTCCAAAGTGGGGAGCCATTGAAGGACATACCTTACATTGCGATGTAATAATTTGTGGCTTTGTATAACCTCAAGAGGGCACCCTTTTTTTGCTTGCTCTGTTCTTCATACTACTAACCTGACTGTGTTTTGTTTTTGTTTTGTGGTTGCTTTGCATGTCGTTCCTTCCTCTTGGCTGACAGTCACGGGGTGGATTCTTTTCCTTTCTATGATTCAGGTGCCTCACTC